ATTCCATCAAAATAAGTCAAATATGTGAAGTGTTACTACAGAGAAATAAGCACAAAATGTTGAGCAGGTAGGAAAGCCCTCAAAATATTTAGTCAAATCTAGAATATTATAACAGAACCTTATTCAGGTTTCACTCATTTACAATTTTGACATGAGTCAGTGAACTGTAACTTTGTACCATCCAAGGGAAAAATACTTTTAAACCAAACTAATGACAAAGAATAGGAATTACCTTTTTAAGAGAAAAAAAAACTTTGAATTTTATAAGACTCCATTTTCAAAATATAATTGCAGCAGAGTAACTAGTATGAATGGGGCTGGTGGTATGATATGCAACACAGAAATTATTAATTAGTTAATTAGTGTAAGGTTTAGTTAATTTGGTTAAAGCTACACGAATGGTAAGATTTTATTTCTTAAAAATAAATACAAGCAGATCTTATTTCCTTGTTATTCTAAATTGGTATTCTGAAAGACATTTGAGGGAGAATTAAAACTCGATTAAGAATCTTTTCAAATAAAGAATAAAACCTTAAGAAAACTGGCTATGATGTTTCAACTAAATTCCTTATTCTGCTGCTGCTTATGAAACGTAAGTCAGAAAAATGGCCATATCCAGTCCGACAGAATTTTAAAGCTGAAAGAACACCAGAGATAATGTACGCTCTCCACAAACAGAAGAGGAAACAGACTCAGAATGACTTATCAGAGCACACAGATCCAAACACAAGTGAATCTCAACTCACAAGCTAAGAGTCTCACTACAGAAAGAACTAATTTTGACACCACTGCTCATTAAGCCAATGTTTAATGAGGTTGCAACAAGGAGCTCACCTGTGGCTGGAACTGGAACTGGACACTGGCTCAGTAATATTAAGACTGTGAATGCATGGTCTACACTAGAGCCAAAGAGCTACAGAGACTTCCTCCTTACGTGCCTTTTCTTTTGGTCCAAGACTCGTATGTGTTTAATGAGGGATACAACAGAGTAAACTAATGGGGAGGTGGTAATTGGGAACACTATCTCTCCACACTTAAAACCCACACACCTTGGCCTCTGGAATGAAGGATGTTAAAATAAATTGATCCCCCACCCCAAATTACTATTTGGGCAAGCTTTTTTAAATCACATAATGTTACTTCTAGCAAATAAAGTTTTCAGTACACACAATCCAGTGACTGAGTCTGCTTTTTCTGGCTACTACAGGTACAGGCTAGGTCCAAGCAGTACAAGCTTTGAAACCATCGTCCAAGTTTTCAAACAAGAATGAGTAAGAAAACAACTGCTGCTAATACAACATACAAACATTAACAAGTGCCCAAAGAACAGTATTTTAGGTCATTAGATTATGTGCCAAAAGCCTGTTCCCTGGTAAATAATAGTTACTGTTGTTATACCTAAACTAGTTATACATGTCACAGCTTGCTTCTCAAAGAGAACATTCTACAGTCTTTCAAGAACAAAACCCTGCTTTATTTGGCATACAACAGTGAAGAGGTCTTGCAACATTTACAGTAGTCAAACAGAGCAGTTCAGTGCAAGCAATCACAAAATTTGGTCACCAACCAAACCAGAGCTAATCTCGCAGTTCCTGTAGATTAGAAGAAAATATTAACTCACTCCTTCTGCTTGTTGACTTTTGCATCCCTTTATTTGTGTATTGAAAGTACCTCTGTGGGAACTCTATGCCTAGACAGTTTAATTATTTATCGTTTACTTTGGGCAAATATTAATCATTATTTTGTGAAATGAGTTAGGTTCTTAAATTAAAAGCAAACAACAACAAGCCCTCTTCACACAGTATGGCTGCATTTTCCCTTAGTAATAAGATTTCAGTGCATCCATCCACCTCGGTCCAGCTGTTTGTCTCTAGGTGAGTCTTTAACTTCTGTCCAACAATAAGATGAGAGGGGCAAGGGGGGTTGTGAACCAGAAGGTACTCGCCAGAATCCTTCAGGAGTCGTTGTGTGACCCTCACCTTGACTTTGGGCGATTTGTGGGGACCAACTCCTTTCTTGCCGCCGCTTATTGGTTTCCAGGGGGCCACAGACCTCACCCACCCTGGCCCTCCACTAACTGTCTCTAGCAGAGGCGGGAGCTGTTTCCCGGCTGGCTCCGGGACAAAGGCAGCGGGCCCTCGGTGGTTCCAGACCCGCTCCTAGAGGCCTGTGCCCATCGCGCTTCCACGCCAACCCCGGCAGGGAGCGCCTCGCTCGGAGCCAGAGGTCAGCCCCGGCGGCGACCCCGCGTGGCCTCACCTGCCGCTCCCCGGAAACCGCAGCGGTGCCCCGCCCCCCGCCCCGCGTCCTGGAAATCGAGGTCCCAGGACCCACGGAGTAATGGCGCAGCCGGAAACTGGCCCCTCGACTTCCTCAGGCCGGATCCAGACTGGGGCCGACCTGTGGGCGGGGCGGCCAAGCTGGGGCTTCCGCCTTCCTGCTTCCGGCTTGACGGTGAGTTGCGAGTAGGGGTCCGAGTGCAAGGTCCTGGGTGCGATGTAGGGAAGGCTGGTGGCGGCTGCGGGGGTAGCTTTGCCCTCGTGCCCAGCAGAGGCGGCCTCAGCGCCGGGGGCGTGTGGTGTGGCGGGGCCGACCCTGGGAATCCCGGAGCCGCCCGCTCTGTGAGCCCCGCAGGGCCCGCACACGCCAAGGCCCAGGGTCGGCTGAACAGGGCCCCTAGGGTCCGCCGGCCGGGTGGGGTAGCGAAGGAAGAATGAGCAAGGGGAAACGTAAGCAGGGAACGGAAGTGCGGATGGCGGTGGAGTGCTGTGTCACCCACAACTTCAGGCGCGGATCTCGTCCGGAGAGGCGCACGGGAAGTCTGTGGCTGTGGACGATCACTACTTTTTGTGTGTTAATGGCTAAAACTTTGTCATGAACCGGGCCCTTCACTCCCGCTTTACTTTTCATTGCAAAGTTCTTTTGCTTATCTCTGAATTCTGTATTAATTCATTACTGGGCTGGAGAAGTTGAAAACGGATTTCTGTGAGTGGGCTTATGAATTTGGGGAGTGGGGAGGTGGGCTTAGGATATTTAACAATATCCTAGGCACTTTAATGTGTCTTTCGTTGAAAATTGGAAGAAACCGTAGTATATAATTAAAACCAGGCAGAAATTTTCTTGAGATGGGATTTTGGTGATTTTTGTTTTGGTTTTCTCTTCTGATTTTTCTATGAACATGAATTGTTCTTTAATGATTTAATCATTAAAGAGTAAGGCGAGGTGTTCGATTTTGTAATTATGTACCTAATCCTATAGTTGACATTTGCTGTAACATCAGTGAGCTAGTCATTTTATATGTAACTGTGCTTCATAAATTTATTGTTGAAACAAGTTATTAAACTACAAGATCTACAGTAATTAGTATTTTCTTATAGGGCATTTGCAATTGTAATAATTCTTCAAATTAGAGAGAAATAGTTATTAAATGTCTATAATGTGCCCTGCAATTTTACATGTCATTTATAGATCGAAGATATAGATTTTAGAAATTTTCCATTTAAAGTTGTATTATAATTACCTTGAAAATTGTGACTTAAACTTTTTATTTTTTTATCTATTCTTTTCAACCCTTCCAGTATATAGAATTTAAACCTTCTCTCAGAAGTGTATAGTAGAGCTAAAGAAGACAGCAACCAACCAGGGGTCATCTGAAATTGTAATTGGCTCACTAATAATCCCAGGACAAAGTTAGAGATCACAACTGAAGCATAAGGTAGATGATTTTTTAAATCCCAGCTGAAATTGTAAGTGACCGTATATACACCCATTCCTACCCAGAAATTCTAATTCTGCATTTTGAATAGAGGTTGACACAAACAAGAAAGGTTGAAAAGCCTCTAGGGCAAAATAGACAATTTCACTTAATTTCACACTGTCCTCATTTGTCAGAGAGCCCTCCTTTACCAACTCAAAATAGAACTAAATGCATGGCACTTGTTCTGGTTAGTTTTCTCATAATTAAATACATTCTCATTTTTTAAATTATGTCTTCAAGTAAGAGTCCTCAGAGCTGAAAGGGAATAAAATAGCATGTCACTTTTTGCTTATATCTGTATATGAATGTGGGTGTTATGACTTCCTTTCCTTTTTATCCCTGGGAATGGCCATTACCTCTCTTTCTCCAAGCATTTCACATACTCTAGCTTGTCCTTTTCAAACACTAAATTTGACGATTTGTATTTTTGTTAATTAGTACTTAATAGTACTAAGGCTATGTCAAATAAACGACAAATGGAAGTCAGCTGTTTCCTGGAATGAATGCATAAAACTCAAGGTCCTTATCCAAGTATGCTGCTAAATAAAGTTTGTCTTGAATATAGGAAGCGTGTGAGAATGCATAGTCCTTATGACAGAGTCCACATGGTTATCTTCTATACCTTCACATCTTTTAAATGACACTCTTCTGGTTGTCCTAGTTGAGTTATTCTTAACTGGGGATATTAGTCTATATTAAAATAGTATTATTTAATACTTTTAAAAACTAATGAGCGATAATGGAATTCTGAGTTAACCGATTGTATAACTTTGAAAATTTGATTAACCACTTGTCTTTTCTCTTGTTCTCTCCTCCCAGCTCCCCTTTTCTAAGACCGCTATAAAGATGTTTGATATAAAGGCTTGGGCCGAGTACGTTGTGGAATGGGCTGCAAAGGATCCATATGGCTTCCTTACAACAGTTATTTTGGCCCTTACTCCATTGTTTCTAGCAAGTGCTGTACTCTCTTGGAAATTGGCCAAGATGATTGAGGCCAGGGAAAAGGAGCAAAAAAAGAAACAAAAACGACAAGAAAATATTGCAAAAGCTAAACGACTAAAAAAGGATTGAAGGAATGAACAGGCTCTGCAACCAGAGTAAAATCATTTGGAAAATTGTGCAGCTTTGGAAGGACCCACTAAGGCTTTTCTGGATTCTCTGACAGTATTTAGTAAATGAAGTCTGAGCATATGGAAGAATCATGTTAGTTCTGACCTCTACTGTAGCAACTTTTATGCTTTGGTGTAAAAGTCTGTTGATAGTTATTGTAAGTTGGCATTTGTTGTACTACAAATTTCTTTATAACCAACCTAGTCATTTGCCATTTTGCATCGTATGTAAGGAAATGTAAACATCCTGAAGAAAAAAAAATGACTTTAGATTATGAACTCTGTTCAATTAATTGCTTAAAATGGGGTCCTGTTCTGGACAAAGGAAATTCAGAATGTAAAAATCAGAATTGTCCTGAGGTGAAAAGTGTACTTTGGCTTAAGAGAGATACAGTGTATTAATTATATCTTTTATCACTATTGCTTTAGAATCATTTTTGGCTTTCTCAAAATAATCGAGTACTTCTATTTTCTGCATTTTTCTCATTTTAGCCTTTGAGATACTGGTAAGTTATCACATATTCTGCAGTTTTAAAGTCTAATTTTATAAAGAATTATCTTATTTTCTTGACAATGTAGAATACCACCTACCCGATATAACAATTTTTGTACTGATGAACACTGCCTTTTTCTTATGAGATGCTAAGTAGAGTAAAGCTTGCAGTAAAAATGCCAAACCTTGTAGTACTTTGGAACCAGTTTATTCTAACTTGTGCTAAGCAGAAATGAGAAATAGTTAAAATGTCCTATCTGATAATTTGCTAATTATATAGCTGCCATTTTTACTTTTTATTCCATTTTTTGTTTTAACTCATGGTAGTTATGTCTGATACTTTTTGATCAAACAAGTTCATGATGAACATTAAAATTTCAAATTTCTTTTAAGGAACTCAATAAGTCACATTTCATAAGTGGTAAAGAAAGTCTTAACATTTGGAAAAATTTTGTTTAGCATAGTAGTAACTGGGTGAAAAAGATAAATTATGTCAATGAGAATGTTAGAAATAAGCTAATAGATATTTCAATTAAATAGTATAACTGGAACTTTTTACTGTTAAAAATGGCTTTTATAAATGCATGGTCCAATAATTTTACTTGCTGTCAGTATTTAACAGCTTATTAATGTTTTCCTCACCTCTGATCATGAATTTTAAATTACAAAAATTATCTAACAGCTTCTATTTAAAAATGAAACTAGATATCGAAATAAATTTGTTACTTTTATAAGGAGGTCCTGGTTTTTTTGGTTTTTTTTGTTTGTTTTTTTAGGAGGGGATAATTAAATACAAATTAGGTGTGCTATGCAAGTTAGACTTTTCAAAGGGTTATGAATTTCATTTATAGCTAAGCATATTTGTAAAAGTCAAGGGCAATGTTTCTCAAATATGAGAACCTAAGGACCCCTGAGAATGTTTATGGACTTGTTTGAACAACAACACTTATTATTTTAGGTTGCCAGTTCCTAATTGATGCCATTGTAATCAACACATTGCAACCCTAGGTACAGAAATAATTCAATGTTTAGATATGAGTTATACAAGTGATCTAGGATATGCTTTTTGTATTGAAGTTAAAGTAAAACTTTAAAATAATTTTTAGATATACCTACTAACCCTCATGGGTCTGCAGAGCCCAGTTTAAGAAAAACTAAGTTAAGATATATCTAAAATGCTTTTGGGTTTCTGCTATCAAGCTGTTCACGGAAGGAATATATATATACATATATCTTGCTTATGGCCACATTTTAGAGTAAAAGTACTAAAAGCAAAAGATATATTCACCATAATGCTTATCTAGTAAAGCTGTAGTTCCATTGGTTGTGATAATTTAAAGGTATTTATTTAACCGAAATCTGTTTTTCTATAATTTTTGTTGTCTTAACATGCAAATTTTATATTTCTTAGGCATATGCCATTTGCTTCTTCAGTTTTTCCCAACATTTATGGAGCCTTTTTATACATTTGAGGTCAACAAGGTTTTATAATATTTGTCTGTGTGTTTTTGTGTCTGGGGTGAGGGTGGGATTTAAAATTGAGACTATTGTGAGATTTGGGATTCTTTAGAAAAATCAGTCTTCTCATTGTCACAAATACTACTATTGTTGAAAGACTCCCATTTACTATTATTCAGATTACTACTTTTAAAAATTACCTATTTAATTATGTTTTTTTTTTTTTTTTCTGAACTGAGAATACAATCAATTACCATTTTTTTGGTCTGATTTTGGGGAAAAAACCGGGCCACCTGTAACAAACATTTTACCTTCTTCCCCATCCCACCCCGCCAAAATTTGTCAGAATTTGATCCATAGTGTCCATGTGATTAACTCCAGCATGGTATTATTACTGTACCAGATGTACAAGGGTAGTTTTTACTTTTATTTCTTGAAGTTACACTAAGCAAACTGGAAATAAGCTTAGGAAGCTATGAAATGGAAACCCAGTGTGAGATAAATTACAATTAACAGTTTCTCACCTATTCCTTCTTATGAAGTAAAGTGGCAAGGGGCGCTTTACACCTCATTTGCTTTTAAGTTAGAGAAAGTTTGATTCCTATTTAGGAATGACCGCTTTTATGTTTGTAATTGGTTATAGGGTCACTCTCATTTATTTCATATCTGAAGTAAATTATAAGGACAAATTCTGCATTTCTCAAACATTAAAAGGGATTCCATGTTCAAATACCAGGTGTGGGAAACAAGGTAAAACAGGATTAATTCCTGTATGATTTCTTGGGGTCTTTTAAGTATCGCATACTCTTCTCACCTTACTTTTCCCTAAAGAACACACAGTTTAAGAAAGCCTGGTCTAAACAAATCCAAGTTACATTTTAAATGGTGTGGTTAATGAGACAGCATTAAAAACAATGTAATGGTATTGGTTCAAAACTGATAAATGACCGTCAAAATCTGTTAGTAAAAGGAATGGAAAAGGATAGCATAATGGGAAAATTTTCTCCACTTTTATTGATTTTTAACTTCAAATATTCAAGACATAGCTAGATTTGTATGAGTAAACACAACAGCTAACATTTCCTATATTGGAACAGTTGGTATAATGTAATAAGCCCATTATTAATAAAAACAAAAATATGCTATATGCATGTATTGTAGAGGCATAAGAATCAGGAAGGATTTACCTCTGAAAAAGTAATGCATATATTAAATTATTTAAAAATAAACATCTTTTGGAATTAAAGCTCCATAAATTTAAGTCTGGAAGAGATGGAAAAACACTCATTTAAAATATAAATACCCCAAATATATTAAAATATATCTTAACATCATATTTTTATACTGTAATATTTTAATACTGTTAGGTAGCTAGTCAGACATGAGCGACAGGGGAACAAAGGAATAGGGACCTAGCCTAGAAGACAAACATCTTTTGGAATTAAAGCTCCATAAATTTAAGTCTGGAAGAGATGGAAAAACACTCATTTAAAATATAAATACCCCAAATATATTAAAATATATCTTAACATCATATTTTTATACTGTAATATTTTAATACTGTTAGGTAGCTAGTCAGACATGAGCAACAGGGGAACAAAGGAATAGGGACCTAGCCTAGAACTCCCAAAGAACACCCTATTGGTAGGGTGTGGCATCCCAGAGACAAAGGAAAGGAGGGTCATAATCTTAGCTGGCCTAATCCAGCTACAGAAGTCTGCAGAAGGTACTACCCTAAATTGCCAACAATTTTGTTTCATTATAATACTATGTTTACGCCTAGAAGTTCATGAATCTATAACAGACAATTCTGGGTAAGCACATGAGCACTAGGCAGAGTTATGTAGTAGGCAAGTGTCAATCAAAATGACTTCACTTGCCTTTGTAACTACCCATCATGGCCCTAATATAATGCAGACCTCTCCTTCCCCAGGGGTTACAGTTCTCTGTCCTCCCTGGCTGTAACCCATGTCCCGCCCACCCCTTAGGGGTACATATCATCATCTCTACGTGGTTAGCAAGTAGTAGGCTTGACCCATCTACCTCATAACGTACTTTTAATAAATGAATATTTCTCATATTCACTGAGTTGAAATTCATTTCATTAGTGATAAGGACCTAGAGGTGTGTGTTAAAGGAACTCTGATTGTCGCAACAGTAACAATATTTTAATTCTGCTTGTACATGCCAGTCCTAAAAGCCAAGTATAAAAAAAAGACAATTAGGCCAAGATTGTAGTTCAATTTTTACATAGGACATTTAACTCTGTTCTGATACCACCCAACAGTGTAACCAGACAACCTAAAATTGTTAGCCTTGAGGAAAGGAGTGTGGATGGATTATTACAAACTTCATTCCCACCTGTCAAAACCACTTTGAAAGTGCATACTCTAATATAATCTTACTATAACATAAGGTATTTTCTCACAAGTACTCAGCTAAAGGTTTTTTCCCCCCTGCTTATTTAAAACATTTTAAATGAGAACCGTAAAAATTAAAATTAATGTTAGTTGTTGTGTTAAGATAGCTATAAACAGGCTATATGGCAAACATTTATAAAAGATGTGTATAGAATATAATTAATAAGTTAATGTGAATTTGACAGCAGAAATATTCTAATATATGTGAACATTTACATTTTTCCTGATATCCAGGATTCAAGAACATCATAATTTACAACCAATTATACTACAAATTTTACCTCTTTTTATATTGCCTAGTTCTTTTTTTGCCTCTATGGTAAAATATAATATTATTTTGTAATGATGTAAAGACAGAATAGTTAACCTGATCACTTAGGGGTTGTTTTTGTCATTCAATAAGTATGTTATGGTGATGACATTTGGTTACTTGTTTTAATATAATATTCTATAGTTGTATTTTTCTGTGGCTTATTTCTTAAGCAATAAAAATTTTTACCATCTATTAAGTAAAAACCTTAACCCTTTGTTTTTAGGAGTTCATTGTAACACTTAACTAGGTGTTACAATTTCCTTATATTTTTCAGAGCATTAAATTTGGGGTCATTTATTAAGTACATATTTATTGAGTGCCTATTTTTATAATTCCAAACACTGTGAGAAGAACTCTGTATTAGTTAGAACTTTAATTAGCAACGAAAACTTGGTTGTGCACTTCAGAAAATGTATGACCCTTGAAAGATACTTTTGTGTAAAGTCAGTGTTTTAACATTGTCATCCATCTATATTTTTCTTCAATATACAAGCCATGGAATCCCCATCATCAGTGGAATCGCTTTTGTAGAACTCTCCTATTTCCATTTTCTCAAAGCAATTTTTAATCTCACCGGACTTTGCTATTGTACCACTTCTCTGTTTACTGTTTTTCCATATTTTTTTGTGATTGTTTCTCTCCTTTTATTGGTCCTAATTCGTCTTCAAACTCCAGCCTCAATCCATAAATTAGCTTTAGTCCCATCTACTCATCAAGGGGGTTGTGGTTCTTTTTTCATTGTTGTTTATCAACTACATTATCTTAGCCTCAAAATGTTTTAACCAAATTCATGTTCTTGATTACTCCTTAGAATCTTTTAGAGTGCCTCTTCAGAAATAGGAGTCTTCTCATTATTTTTCTTTTATATATGATCATTTAGGAGAGCTCACATATATTTATCCTTATTTCTATTAAGATATACCTTAGCTGGTTCTTAAATGATCATAAGGATTCATGATGTATTGAGCATTTACAGCTACATGATACTTCTTAAGGGAACAATCCAACAAAGGGAATAAAACAGGATCATAAACCCAGAACTAAATCTAAGGAAGGATTTAAGTCTAAAAGAAGTTAGGTTGATATAGTCCATAATCTCACATTTCTTATGCACACTGAAAATGAATTCTTAAGCTTAATAGAATAGAGAACTATTGTGCAGTCAGAAAATACAACATAACTTTTTACTTCTTTTATTTGTTAAAATGGTCACATGTATGTAAATGAAATGATTTTACACATTACATTCACTGATTGTGCCTCTTGCCATCTTGTGGCATCCAAGATCCTGGCTGAAAGGTTTTACCAGTGCTGGTGGGAGCCACTGAGGGTTCTTCCTTTCCGAAGTACGGAGCAGATGCATGCCCTTTAATCTGAGTTTCAGCTGGTGGCGCCAAGAGCTCCTCATTGCTTTCTTTACTAAGGAATTTTCCTTTTTCATAAAAATCTTGGCTTTTTATTTTAATTTCTTCTCTATGTTTCTCATTCTTTAATATTTCCTGTATGTATATATAAATTGGAGAAACTTAAATTTCTAGTTAGAAGAAAACTCAAAGTACAGGTTTTATGAAAAAATAGCTAATAGAAAATAAAGTACATATATACATGATACTTGATTTGCATTTAAATAATACACAGATATGTACAGAAGTTTGAAAAAGCTGATTATATACCAGTATTACTTGAATTAAAAAGCTCTCTCCTCATATACTATAACATAGAAATATTTATTACCCAGTAAGTTAAACAAACTACTTACCATGAAATATACAAGAGCACTCCATCAAAGATTTCCTAAGCTTAACAGCTAATGTCTGCCTCAAAACTAATCATCGGTGAATATACTTTTTCCTGGAGATAAAGTGAAGGTGAGATGGCCTCAGAAAGATGCCCCAACCAGTCTTTTTCTTCTATGGGATTTAAAGAATGGATGCTATGGCCACCCTCTGTTGTGCCAGAACCAAGCTCCATCTGCTTCTCTTTCTCTAGAGAGGTATGACAGTGAAGAGGATAGAAATGGAATCAGAGTTCAGCATGCCCTAGACACTGGTTTCAGAGAGGTACTATGTGATTAGAAATGCTTCCTCAAATCAGTGCAAGCAATTTGTGTAATGCAGTTCTGACCCTCAGATTTGCTGGTCCATCTGCAAGGATCTATACCCTAATTTACAATGAATCTATTATTGTATTTCATCGAATATAAGAATCATCAAATTCAAGAAGCACCATGGTTATATGTACCACTAAAGAAGGCAATTATATTCCTTCACACCTCCTGATTTCAGAGATGTTAAAATTTGAAAAGATTTGCATCGTAAAAACAGATGAAATATAGTAATTACAACTTTTTTGTTGTTTCTTCTATCTTAATGATTATTTGTAAATGGGTGACACTTTTAATGTTCTTTTTGCTTACTGTATTTTCTGATTTTTTTTAAATAACATTCATAATATGAAAAAGTTGTTACTGTAACTAATATCTGACAACATTGACAAAAAGAAGTCTCTCAAGTTATTTTTTAATCTCGACACTTTAAAAAATGACACTGAAAAGCATCTCTGGGTATCTAAATGTATGATGCAATCTTTCTGTTTCTAAAGAATTTCAAGTAATAAAAGTCCTTTAAAAATGTAAGCACCAATATTTAAAATCAAATTTAAAATAATGGTTTGTAGTTAAAGAGGCAAAAAGGGCTTGAGGGGTTATAGTGTTGCAGACTTTCAGTTTTAGACAGAAAGCAGGGCCCAGATAATGAAACTCCCTCCTCAAAGCAAACATGTGAGGGAAAGAATATTTGTAAATATTTTTGTAATTTCCACAAAATTGACCAATTCCTCACAAGTAATTTAATAACCACAGTAACTATGAGTTTAGGGACAGTTGCTGTGCATCAGGGTGAGAGTAGTCTGCCTTTCATACACCTTATAGAATTCTGAGGTGAAGTGACCATATATCACAAAGGAAATGCCCCAGTGTGATATTGGAAATAGTGAAAGTAGATGAAAATACGTTCCCACATCTCCATAGTCTTCAAGATCCTCTATGAACTGCTGTGTCTTCATGTCTTTCTCTTGAGCAGAATGAAAGGTTCAGGACCGGGCTGGACTTGCTCATATTGCCCAACACTGGTAGCAAGAGGCTACTGAGATGTTGGTATGCAGTGGCCTGGTTTTTGTATAAGAGGATCAGTCACATGTCTGAAGCTGTCCGTTTCTGCTTTATTTACTTCAGCTCTACTGTTGCAGTCTTACAGCTGTACAAGCCTATGCCTTCCGCATGAAAGGAAATGGAGGACAGAGAGCTGTTCTTTTTGCCTGCCTTCACATAATTTCTCTTTACTTACCATTACTCTGCTAAGTCATTTTCTTTCTTTCAACAGCTATTTAGGCAAATGAAAAGCCAATCAGGATATGTTAATTTAATATATGATGACAGAGTAAAGATTTCAGAGTTAAAAAATATAGAGACTATAATTTTTTTCTAGAAAAGAATTTTCCTTTTTGTCTTAAAAACAACAACAACAACAACAAAAAAAACACTCCCCCAAACAACTAATTGTTACCAGACCCCTGCTAACAGCTTCTGGGAAAATTAAACAGAACATAAATCATTTATGAAAGGAAAACTAGTTTTATAAATATTTGGAATAGAGAAAATGAAAGTAGGTAGAAAAAAGGAAATTTGTAGACTTAAACAAATCATTCCTAAGAAAGCCTATTTTATAGTAGAAACTGCCAGAAAGCATGGATTTTCCTTAAATTTCCTTGTAACAATATCACCTTAAATATCAGTTTATCAATAAAACCAGTATGCTTGTTTCAGTGTCTGTACAGGGATAAACCAAGAGTAAGTGGGTCTTCCTTCACATAAAAATGTTTATATATTTAAAATAAATATTTATTCTTTTACACAGTGCTTTTCTCTCTGCCAATATTCTTTAACATTAAAAAAAAGATGGTCGTGTGGTATTTTGTCACTTGCATTGTACCATAATTTCCTTAATGACTATCCCATTGTTGTTTCCAGTATTTCACTTGTTCATTTTAAAAAACAGCACTGTGATGACTATCCACATAGACAGTTCGTGGATACAGACGTAGTATCAATTCCAAATCGACCGTGTACTAGCTGTGACACCAAGAAGGTCACTTAACTTTTTTCAGTTTCAGTTTCTTTATCTGAAAACAGGAATGACTGTATGTATAAATATTTACACCTTAAATATATGTATACTCTTCACACTGTTAGGTCTTCTGGAAGGTTCTTAGTAGTGGTTAAGAACATGGGCTCTGAAGTAAAACTACCTACATACAAATCCCAGCTTTCCTATTAGCTGTGCGACCCTGTCAACGTTGCTTAACCCATCTGTGTCTCAGTTTCCTCATGTATAAAATAGAGATAACAATATTGTCTTCTTCAATGGGCTGTTGTAAGGACTGGGAAAGATATGGATGCTGGGAAGTGATAGTACAACATGAAAGGGTATGGGTAGATTTTTAAATAATGACTATTTATTCCATTCCATTAAAAGATAAATATACCAAACATATACCCATTCCTCTTTCTCACTGGAGGATACAAATATAGTCTCAATACTTATACTTTTAAGTACTTAAAATTTTAACCCACTAGTTTGTGATATAGATTGAATAACTATTTGTTGTGAAAATTTTATAAATAGCAGAATCTCTACATAAATTGCTATCCTTATGAAGAATAAACAGACAAAATTTATAATGTGCTGGGAAAAATCTCCAGTGTTTTAATGTGCTATAGCTTCCAACAATGGCAGCAACCATTAACACTGTGTTGAGAACAAAGTGTTAGCAAGGTACAATCTACAGGCTTGAGAACAAGATGGAGTAAATGATGTCTAGTCCTCCTGCCACAAACAACTAGAAAACTGGGCCAAAAATAGTAAACTCTGCAGATCATAAACAACAGGTAGTGCAGTACTATGATCTCTAAGAGAAGGGATACAAATGAGATAAGCTTTGTATCACCTCAGCTTTCTGCCTGGCAGCATATTCTGGTAACAGGGTGGGGAAACCCAACCAGAGGTTAGAGGTCTTGTTGAGCTAAAGAGATAGAGATGATTGGTTGGGGAGGCTAAAGAAGCAGAATTTGTGGGGCAGGGTACCAAAATACATAGAGAAAGAATACCAGAAATCTGCATAGAGATCCACTTGAGTACTGGGCTAAACCTTAAACTGTATGTGGGTAGGGTGAGACTCTATAGGGCCAGGAAGGTCAGTTCCTGGGTAAAGAACAACTACTGGGGAGCTGTAAACTGAACAACTACTGGAGTTTGCATGAGACTAGGAGACATTCAAGTTCTAATCATTTAGAGATTTCTCACAGAACATGTAGGGCATTTATATAAAGACTTCTGAAGGATCACACCTTAGGAGTAAGGATAAATTGGCATGAGAGTCGAGGTAACTCTAGACCTGAACTGTCTAATATAGTAGCCACTAGTCACATGTTGTTATTTAAATTAATTAAAATAACAATTTAGTCCTTCCACTGCACCAGACACATCTCAAGGGTTTAGTCGCCAAATATTACTATTGACTGCCATACTGGAAAGTATAATATAAAACATTTCCATAATTGCAGGAACTCTTATTGGACAGCACTGCTTTAGATCCACCCCAATGAGACTTAAAAAATAAGTCCGTGATGTGCTGATTCACATCTAAATTAATGTACTCCAAAAGAAAACTCAACATTTTTTAAAGGAAGGTAATAAAATCCAGATAGTAAACAATAGACTATTTCAATGTTCATGATCTAATCAAGAAGTGAAGGAAAGTGTGATCTCAAACCAGTCAACAGAAACAGAGTCAAACATGACAGAAATGATGAAATTAACAGACATGGACATTATCACAACTACTAGAAAAATGTTCAAAGGCCTAAAAGAAAAATGAACATAAAGAAGAAAGAAAAAGAAACTATTAAAAAGAACCAAATAGAACTTCTAGAGGTGAAAAAAAAAAAAAGCAACAACATATAAAATGAAAAATATAATACATAACAGCAGATTAGACACTACAGAAGAACAGTGAATCTGAAAACAAGGCAATGGAAATGATCCAAACTGAAGCAAGAGAGAAAAAGTTTAAAAAGTGAACCAGAGCCTCAGTGAGTTGTAGGATAATATCATGTAGTCTAACATACATGTAATTGGAGTCACAGAAAGAGAAAAGACAGGGAGGAGAGGAAATAACCACTAAAAATATTCCAAATAGATAAATATATAAATCTACATATTCAAGAAACTAAAAAACAGATTCCAAGCAGAATAAATATAAAACCAAAGAACATCAAAATCAATTGCTAAAAACTAATGACAAATAGAAAAAAAAACATTATTATACAAGATACGAAAATAGGAAATAATAGAGTTCTCATCAGAAATAAAGCAAGGTATAAAACAATGTAATGACTTTCATGTGCTGAAAGCAACAAAACCGTACAACTTAGAATCCTATA